ATTAATAACTCGCAAAGTTTAAAAAATAGATCATTTTAACATTTAATCCACAAGGCAAGTGTTATGCAACAGATATAATGCTTGAAATTATACAATATTTGATTTTTTAATAGTACTATACCGAAAAACCAATTGAAGGCAAAGCGCCCGTCTGTCCATGAACACTATTAGCGCCTAAACCATGCGTAGGACTTTTTCCAAATTGAAGAAACCCCAGACCATCTGGTTCGATTCGAAGCATTGAGATATTGAAAAAAATTCTTTAAAATTTGGGTGTACTTTAGATGAAGCTCTCCGGACATTTTCAAAATTTTCTCAAAAACAGTTTCATTTCTTTTTCTTTACATTTTTTCTAAGAATAGAATTATAAAAGGGACATAGGTCAGATTTGCACTGTTAACTCTGAATTTTCAAAAATTTCAAAAGTATGAATTTTATTCGGCGTCATCCTACGACAAGTTGAAGATAGAGAATTTCCTTCAAATTATCTGTACGTAATTAGTTAGTTTATTAAGGTCAATCACATTTTTAAATATAATAGTTTTCAAGCAAATTGTGGGCAATATTTGCATTTTTTTTTTTAAATACAAGAATAAGGTTTTCTCAAACGCGGCTCCATTTTTTTCTTTAAACTTCTGCAAGGGATAGTGCCAATTGCACTCTATAAGAAGACATAAACGCCATATTGCTCCATTTTTTGTTGTTGTTTTTTCAAACATTACAAAAAATTATTTTTGACTTGCATCTCAAGTCTTTAATATTTATATTGACGGCAATTGGTTCACATTATATTTATGAGTACATGTGCTTTAAATAATGTCATAAAGTTTCTCGAAAACTCAACCGTTTTGTGAAAAGTAGCTCAAAATTCCGCATTTCCAGAAACGCTCAAAAACCATTTTATCAGAAACAGCTCTAAATGTTTTATTCAAACTTTTCAAACGGATAGAGCGGACTGCACAGCATATGATGTAAACCTCTGGATTTTTTTTTGTTTTTCAAAAAAAAAATACACAAATAAAATATTTTTTAAAGATTACTCATGCCGTTAATATGCACATATTCTAGCAATTTGTATTTGTGAGTTAAGGTACTTCAAATGACTTCTAACAAAGTTTTCTAAAACTCAAAAATGTGAGCTTCAAATTTCGAATTTACAGTAGCACTTTAAGGTAATTTTTTTGAAAACTGTTCAAATTTTAAAAGAAAATTGCCATTTATGGCGAGGTTTTTCATAAAATCATATTCAACTATTAGGAAACCGAAATATTAAGAATTTTTTTTAAAATGTAATTTTGGAGGGCTATAGATACCTGGCAAGAGTATGTGTCAAGTTCGTACAGCTAGCCGAGACCAAAGGAATTGCAAAACTAATAAGGGAAATTTTTCTTGTATTCTGTAGCTCCAATAGTTGGAAACATATTTTGTGTGGTTTTGTTTAGAAGCATTTTTGTACTGCAGGCCTCTTGTAATTACACTATAATGCAATGAATGTACCATTATTCTCACTAACACAACAAAAAGTCATCTACTACTTACAAAATAGCACATATAAGTCTATTTACTAACATTTTCCAACACCCACTTCATTAGAAAAAAGAACCTTTTTGCTGCTTACACAGTACACTCTCTAAGTTAATTCTATACATCCAAATGACATTCAACAATTTGTTGTCACGTAATTACACTAAAAACATTCTTCAGCCTTTAATATTTCACTTATAATAAATATTTTTTTGCATTCCCCCCCCCCCGCCAAGAAAAACGAAAAACAAATTTATAATGTATTTCAATTCACATAATCCAATTTTTAGTTTCCTTAATATGAAAAGTTTAAGCTTTAGAGTAGATGGAAAAACAGTAATACCTTTATTGAAATGAAAATATCCCAAAATTAGAAAAAATAAAAAACTCTTTACAAAATTGATATCATTTTAAATGAAATGTGTTTGAAAATGTGGCATTTTTGCCTAGTGTACTCTGAAAATTAATAAATATTAAAAAAAAATGAACAAGAAATCATTTCAAACTTTTGTATTCACTAATAATGGAACAATCTAATTTATAAATATATTTTCAGATGTAGTGTATATTAAGGAATTTCTAAGAATTAAATGCGCTTACATAATATGCTTTAAAGTATATTCTCTACATGTAATGAAAGTTCACCGAAAAAAATGGAAGCAGACGAATTTGAAAAATCTTGCACAAAGAATTTCACTTTTGCACAATGCAAGAAATGTGCGAAATCCCTGTGATTATTTTTCTCAATAATTTGAAAAATGTAATTTAATTAAAGAATTTGAATATTATGTAAACTATTGACAAAAAGAGGAATAAGTTATGAAGGATAGCATAAATTTGAAAATATTTCTCCTAGGGTTTTAAGAAGTTCTCATGGTTAATCAAGAGTTCTTTAAGAACAGTTATTTCCACACTTTATGATGTAGAGCAAGAGGTAATTGTTAATATTGTGGTTTTTGTTAATATATTGCGGCAGAGCCAATGTAGTTGAAAAATAACTTTTACTTCCATTTTTAGAGATTGAGTAATCCAGGAACAAAAAGAGACATTAGTTTCTTATAGTTTTATAAGATGGAAAATATTCTATAGTAAATTGTAAATCAATGTATACAGTTCATTTCTGTTCCATAAACAGTCAATTCCCGAAAAGTATTTTCATTAGTTTTACTAATTTTCTATAGTAACAAAAATAATTTAAAATATCAATTCAATATCTAAGACATGAATAAACAAATAAAAACGTTAAAGTAGGAGGGGGTTTCATTTTCATACATTTCATCTTCAGAGAAAAAACAACAAATTGGCTGGACACTACAACTATAGCCTTCCTATCATTGAAATATTCTATTTGAGCCACTGCTAATAAGTATTTTAAATTAGATATTTCTTACAGATATAGAAGTAATCTGATGTCTACCTTTCAACAAAATGATGTAGAAGGATATTCAAAGGCTAAAGATTGTCAACATTGCTAAATATAAATGTATAAATAAAAATCTTATCTTATTTCTTATATTTCTAACAGATGAACCAATCTATATGGAAATAATGAATTATATGTAAGGTAATTGAAGGTTTTTGATAGCAATGTATCAAAATGTTTGTGAATATTTCACAACCATGGGGAAGTTCATTTTCTTAACTAAACAATGTCATCATATTCTAGAAATTGAAAAAAATATTGTTAAGTTTTAAAATACAAATATATACACAATTTGTACACTGCTTGTTGACTGAACAGCTATGGAATGTCTCACAGTTTTATGATTGGCCGTGAAACTTTTCCAACCTCTCATACTATTAGAAAATATCTCTTTTGCCACATGCAACATCTGTATCTCTTCATCTCTAAAATGCCCCAATGTAAATTTTTCTGAAGCTTTACCACATATGCATAACAATTTATGTATAGATTTTAATTCTTAATAGAGATTTTTCTCTTCCTGTTTTGTCACTTTAAGAAACAAGCTTACTGTAGGACATACCCCAAAATTTCTTTTCGTTAAAATAAACACAATGGGGATTGCCATATATTTCTTGAATTTGTTTCTGAACATTTATGACATGGCCCCTAACCTTCCAATTACAGACACTGACACAGGTCATATAACTCAATGAAACTGAATTACCAATTTCTTTCGAAATGCAAATAATTATGATATTTAGAGAAGTGGTTCCATATCAACTACACATTACTAAAGAATTTCACTTCCAGATAGGACACATTTTAATATCTCTTGATTAGATAATAAAACAACTGCTTGTACATACTATCCTGATTCCAATTCATGTTATAATACTTGATGAGAACACACACGACTTCACAAAATTCTGCTTATCAAGAGTTAAAAATAAATGGTTATTATAAAGATTCCCAATAAAGTTTTTAACATGCAGCCATATTCTCCCATATTTTTTTATTAAATTTAATTGAAAAAATGAGAAAGCATTTCAAGATATTTCTCCTAAAGAAAATTTCCATACAAAACTTTGCATAAGGATAGTAGATGTTAAAAGTTAGCTACCATACTTTGTCATACAATTTCACTGAACTCACTCATTCCAACAAAAAACATTGACTATCCTCACGCAGTACAAACCTTGCCATTGCTTTCAATGTATCTGTCAGATGATTTTCACTTGTAACTTTCAACAGACAGTCTATAACTCTCCTCCAACTTTCACAGGGCCCTTCCCACAGCACATTCAGAGAGAAACTGCTTCATGTTGGGCCACAAAAAACTGTTCCACACCACATCATCAGCCTTGTGCATTTAAGTCAGGGTCATCAGCTCAGTGGTTTTTTTTTCATCTACCCACCAATCCTCACAGCCTATCTCATGTAAGTAAACTCTTCCTAGTGAACTACAGAGTGGCATTACATAACTCAAAGTCAACACAGCTACCCATTCAGTTATTCACTACTTTCTGATGTGCTTACTCTCATCATCCACATTGGCAGGAAATGTGTTCTGTTGTGAGTATTCTTGAATGAAAAAACTATATTTTGTTTTAAAACTAAGATATAATATGCTTGTCAAACAAAGGAAATGTTTTGTGACATAGAGTCTAACATTCCAGTAATAAAAACACAATGAGATATTCTATTAATTATAAATAAAATTTTCAAAATATCTTTAAAATAAAAAGTCTTACAAATGAGCAATCTCTTACTTAAAATTGTTTCACATTAAATACAACAAAATTGTTTGAAGTTACATAAAAGAACAACAATAACAGAAAAACAAGGCACTGACAAGATCCCCAAAAAGTTCTTAATTTTGAAGGTAAAGAGCAAAAAAGATATTCTGAAGACCAAACAATAAATGCATATACAATAAATTACCTTCAAAAACAGGTCTGTCAGAACACCGCAAACAATCACAACTTCTCAGTTTGATGGCTAAGAGAATACTGAATTCTGCAGCTAATTCTAAACTACTAAAGTGACTGGCGTAGCCTTGAAGTAACCGTACCTGTCCACCTGTCCTCTTGCGACACTACCAATAAAACTGGAAAAAGAATGAGAAAAAGACCAAACAAAACTAGCCGACAAACCGATATACGCTCTACTGATTCCGATAATGAAATCAAATAAACCCGTAGAAACTTATTATTGCTTAGGTATCTTCAATGAACAACGTTTCTACCTCTCGTAACTAAAAACTACAGAAATACCTAAGGCTAAAACTCGATAATCAAACGACACTCAAAATGACATTTCTCCAATTAGATAAATCTTCTAATAAAAACATATTAATGATAAATTTGATACAATAGATTTTATTTAACATTTTGAAACGTAAATATAAATACAGCTATTAATAAAACTATGAAACAGTTTTCTGAACACATAACCTCGTACAAACTTACCGGCAACTATAAAATACACCTACACCACAAACCAATTTGCTACGTCATATCTCCGGAATCACAATGTACTCGGCAGTGTCTGTAAACACCGCGAAAAAAAGTTATGGCACACACGCGGAAACGTCTCACGTATACTTTCGAACATTACTGTCAACTGCCTCCAGCTGTCTCACAGCTCCCCGCAGCGCACTCTCCCCGCACTGCGCCACGCTTCAACTGGGGTGGTTCACGTAATATCCATGTGACGCGCTAGTGAGCCCATTTACCTCGTCCACCCTATCCTCAACAATATTCGCGCTCTTTTCAAATTAGAAAAGGTAAAAGTACTGTTGTCTCCCACGTAGCACATCGTCAGTTATAAAATAATGAAAACGAACGAAGCGAATCCACGAAAAAGATCATAATATGACCTCTAATGAAGTTAATTTCCTATATGACTTTTTATGCGTTTCTCACATTCGTATACGCTACACAGTTTCATGCCATTTTAAACACTGATACAAGTAACATAAAACACAATCAAGTGTACTACTTCTGGTCGATCACGTAGATACCTATTAAGATGCAAGGCGAAGCCTACCAAATATTTAATAAAAAACTAGTGGTGCTACAGAATGGAAGAGATTTTCTCGTATTAGTTTTCTATTTTCTTTGATCCGGGCTAGCTATTCGGACTTGCCACGTGCCCTTGCCAGCTCCCATCTATCCCATCTATCCCATCTATCCCAAACTACCCTTTTAACATTTTTTAATAATTAAATTTAACTTCTTCATTTTTCAGTTTCCTTTTAGTAGCAACGAAATTTACTTTAATAATAGTATATATTATATATAATATATATATATATATATATATATATATATATATATATATATATATATATATATATTATAAGTAATATGAAAGAAGAGTAAAACCTCGTCTTAAATGAAAACTTTCATTAAAAAATTTGGAGCGGTTTTTAACAAAATGGTGTTTAAGCGTTACTGTAAATGCGAATTTCAAGCCTTTTTTACGTAAAATTTTTGAGTTTTCGCAAAACGTAATTGAAAATCATCTGAAGCTCTTTCACTCACAAATACAATAGTGCTTACCATAGTGCTTGGCATGAAAGATATTTTAAAAAATGACTTTTGTGTAATTTTTGAAAAAACAGAAGAATATCTCAAAATGAACTTTGATATATCATATAGTGCAATTAGGACTATCCATAGGAAACGTTTGAAAAAAATGTGTTTCTGAAAATACGGAATTTTCAGGTCATTTTCACGTAAAACTGTTGTGTTTTCGAGAAACGTTTTAGGCCATTATTTAAAGCATATCTTCTCATAAATATAATAATCGGTGAATAAATCACTGCTTATGTAAAATTTTGACAACGTGGGAGACAAATAAAAAAATACATTTTGGTAATTTTTGCGAAACAAAAGAACAGAGCAATGTGGCCTTTACACCACTTTATACAGTACATTTATCACTATTCATACCATAAGTTTAAAGAAACTAATTGCAACCGTTTTCGATAAAACTTGTTTATGTTCTTTTTTTAAATTGCACATATTACACGAAAAGGACTACAATTTTCAAAGAAAATGTACGTGACCTTAATGAAAGAAGTAAATATAGAGAACAAATCACTTTTAAAGGAAAAATCTGAATCGTCAATTCTGTAGAGTAGGAAGACGCCGAAAATTGCAAACTTTTGCAATTTTTTAATACTTAGAGTTAACAGTGAAAAACAGACCTCTGCCATCTTCATACGTGTATGTTTCTCTATTCTTTCACAAAATTAAAGAAAAAATAGGAGAAATGTTTGAAAATGTCCTTATGTATGACTTTATGAAAAGAACCCCAAAATTTTAAAGAAAGTTTTTCAAAATCGCGCAACTCAAGTGGAGCCAGATCGATAGAGGAATACCAATTTTGGAACAAAACCTACGTGTGGTTTAGGTGCTAGTGATGTTCACAGACGGACGAACAGATGGACGGATGTTCAGAAAAGACAACTTTTTTTCAGAATCAGGGGACCCAAAAACGTGTACTTCCGTTGAAATCTCGAAATCAATTTTCCGAAGCTTTACGTAACTTTATACTAGGCCTATTCTCTCCCTTATTCTCTTATTCTTTATTCTCAGGGGGTCTAATGCTGGCCTTACATTAGCTATTCGTATCCCCCAAATCTTTCAGCAATTGGTTTCTGCTTCTTGCAGTCATTTTTACACTAGCAAAAGTAAGGAGGAACAATATATTGTCAGAAAGATCTGAGCAAGATCTTTCCGTCAAGATATTGTCGATCATTTTACCTTGGGACCGTTTGTGGTCGTATTTGGTGACGTCACGAGAAAAATGGTGCGTGAACGTAAGTAAGGTTATACGTCACTTACCAACATTCTAGTGGAAGGCAGAAGATGCGATTCGCGGTTGCGCTTATTATGCTAAATGAGGAGATGAAGTAACACCGACGATTAGTGAGGACGTGGCTGAATTTTAAGAAGAAAGGAAAAGTGGGCTTGTGCGAATTATGGTAGAGAAGTCTCAATATTTTTCATAAAACCAAGGGATTTTGTGAACTTCGATTCACGTGGGAGAAAGTAATTTTCTTTTTATAAAAAGTGTAATTACTAATTGGGTAAAAGGTTTTAAAATATCCATTACCTACTTTCATATATTATAGATCAATTTTGAAATTGATTTAGATTAAATTAATGTCTTAATAATTTTTAACTAATTATATTAAATTAAATAACCAGAGGGCATCTTTCATTTCCCTTTAACGCATGCTTTCATCTCAAAAAGAGAAAATTAAATATTTCAAGAAAAAATAATACTTAGATAACATCGTGTAAAAATAAACGTACGCTTTACTTTATTTCTAAACATCATAACGTATCACCCGGTTTCCATGTCTACTTCTGAGAATACAAAAGAATCTTAAGAAAAGTAATAGTCCAGGCAAAAATAATGAAAAATAATCATGATATTTTAAACGCTAGTAAGAAAACTAAAGTAATGTGGAATAGCGTAAAAAATACGACTACATCATCTTGGTACTTAGTAGAGAATGATGTTTTAAAGGACAATGAAAGAGAAGCCAGTAGTCCGGAAAAAGTGGCAAATCTCTTCAACGAACACTTTTCTAGAATTGCGGCTGAACTCACGAAGGGACTAAAACCGTCATTACCTTCCCAAAAAGATAGATGGGTGGTTTCTGGAATTCATCCTAGTTTAGATGAATTTCCGGATTGTTTATTGAAAACTTGTGTACCTGCTTGTATACCCCGTTAACTCAATTTTCAATGCTTCTTTATGCACAGGAATATTTCCAGATATTTTTAAAACAGCAAAAATTAAGCCACTTATTTAAAAAGGGAGCAAAAATGAAATTCAAAATTACCGACCAATTTGTCTTTTGTCAGGTTTCTCTAAAATATTAGAGAGGCTTTTCTATAGGCGAATGGAAATTTTTCTCCGGAGAAACGAAGCGTTTTCAGTCTCACAACACGGGTTTAGAAAATCAATATCTATGGAAACTGCCATTTTTTCTTTTCTTAAAGATATTCATCAATGGACCAAAATGAAGCACCCATTGGAATATTTTTAGATCTTTCGAAAGCTTTTGACGTTATTGACCATAACATCTTTTAATCAAAATTACCTTCTTATGGAATTCGTGGTATCGCCCTAGATTGGATAACTTCATACTTTAAACATCGACTTCAAAGAGTAGATATACCGTACTGGCACGAAAGGACATTATTTACTTATCTTTAAAATTATTTACCAATTGAATATGGGGTTCCGCAAGGCTCGATCTTAGGTCCTATCCTCTTTCTGTTATACGTAAACGATATGCAAACGTCTATTAAAAACGGAAGAACGGTTCTGTTTGCGGATGACACGAATGTTCTTTGCAACAAAGAAACAATAAATAGTACGATTTTAGAAGTTTTAAATTGATTTGTAATAACAAATTAATGGTTAATGAAGGAAAAACAGTTAAAATTCATTTTTGCCTTTCAAATCAGCAATTGAATGCTGCATTGAAAATGAATAATATGCAATTAGGTGATGTTCAGGTAACAAAATGTTTAAGTTTGTCTATTCAAACCTCAAGTGGAATGCACATATAACAAAATTAAATAGTAAATTAAGTTCATTATGTTACGCATTCAGAATTTTATCAAATGTTGTCTGCCTTCATGCAGCTCGTTGCGTGTATTTTGCAAATGTACATTCCCACTTGAGATATGGTATAAATTTTTTGGGAAACTCATCATGTACTACTCAGACCTTTAGATTGCAAAACAAAATTATTCGAATAATGAAAAAATATCATCCGCGTTACCCTTGCCAGCCTCTCTTCATTGAGCTTGGAATCTTACCACTGACTTGCCTAAATATTTACAAATCTGTAGTATTTGTCAAAAGTGACGTACTTAACGGTGGGAACATTTTCATGCAATACTGATATCTATAACTACAACACACGTCGGAAAAATCACGTTCATCAACTGTCAGTACCAACAGCTCACTATCAGAAATCCACTTACAATAAATGTTCGTTACTTTACAACGCATTGCCAGATGACATTAAACAATTGAAGTCGGTTCGCAAATTTAAGTTAAAAGTAAAATATTGTCTGTTACATAATTGTTTCTATACAAATAGAGACTATACTGATTATCAAAAAGAAAAATAATGTTTATTTTAACAAACTAGTGATATATAATTAATTAGTTTACATTTGTATTGTATATTTTTTTAAAGATTTAATATGTTTGTAAAAAATAATGTACTTCAGCTTCCGGGTCAATGACCCCCATCTCAATCAGGTTTTTGTCCAGTTACCCTGATCCATTGAGTAAATGTTGAGATGGCCCCTTGTTTTGCTTCTGGATGTAAATGTAGCTTTCACTATGCGCACGTTTTGTTGAACTCTCCTTTTGCTTGTAATGGTAAGAGTGGAGGTAAGGGCGAGTTGCTATTTTGTTAGCAATGCAGAAAAATCAGACTTGCAATTCGTATACCGATGCAAATAAGTTTTCTATATCTCAGAAACGAAAAAGACTATTTTTCAAATATTACTTATCTTGCGATTTTTAAAATTAATTTTTAAAATTTATTTATGTTAAACTTTTACTCATTTTTCAACTATTTATAGTTAAAAACAAGGGAAGGGATTCTGGAACTAAAGAAAACGTAGAGATAAT